TATAATATAATATTTTTAATTTACTAGCTAAAGAAAATTGAACATCTGGACTGTCTAGTAGTAATATATATTTGCAGGTTTTAGTTGTAAAATATAATCAACCCAATTTAAAAAAAAAATAGCAAAATTACGTCGCATATACCATATGCGACGTAAATTTGCTGTTTTTTTTTTAATTTCTGAAAGTTTTTACGTCTGTTTAGTGGTATATGCAACGCAAAATTACGTCGGGTCTTAATGACTGATGTAAATTTACGTCAGGCTAAAGGGTCCGACGTAAATTTACGTCTTCTATTTTAACGTCAGTCTTAAATACGACGTAAAAAATCCTAAATACTCGACGTAAAAGCCCCTTTTTGCACTAGTGCCAATATCTTAGAGTTGGAGATCGATACTCCAACCACTAAACTACTAGAATTTTTTGATAATAATTTACAAATAAATATATATCCATGTAAATATATAAATACAAATATATTTATATATTTTGATATATTTATATAGTTATATATTTATATATTAGATATAAAAAGTATTTTCTACATCATTTGATTAAAAATCGACATATAATGTGTTCAAAAATTAACTTTCAATATCATTTTTGAACCAACTGAACGTTGAAATTATATTCAACGTCTTGTGAGTTTTAACTAATGTTAAATGACCATATAAAAAATATATTTTATAATAGTACATTTTCATAATTAACTAAACGCTATTTAATTTGAATTAATATACTTTTTAAATTAAAAAAAATACAAATACAAGTTAGAAAATACACTTTGAAGGTATGAAAACAATAAAAACTTCACATGCAATATACAGATACGATCATGAGGATAACATCATGAATTGAATGATTGAGTCGAAAATTTTGAATTTTGGTTGAAAAAAATGTAATTAAAGTGCCGGTTTACAAAAGTTGACACTGGGTTATAATCAAACCATAGTTATATGAGATGTATTTAATAATGTTTTTTTCTTATATAAAAATAACTTTGTGATTATTAATATTTATTTATTTATTAAACAAAACCAGTGTAGTTAGTTATACTAAACTCTACGTGTAACGTGAATTTGTTTCGCAATAACTTTGGATAATGATTTTCACATATGACACATAATTGAATTGAAAACCTAAAATCTACAGCTAACTGTGCAATTTCAACCTTTTTATACGCACTAATTTGATTTTGGTTTTAATTTTACATTAAGAAAACCTAGACATTTAAAATTCATGTACCAAAAAGTTTTTTTATTTCATTTTATTTTTAAATAAAAGTAAAGTAAAATCTTTTGACGCGGTCCATATTCATTATCGTCTATGCATGCATAGGAAATTTCCTTCAGAGAAAGATAATTAATTTGCCACAAAAAAAATTAATGGAAAATTTGTTTGATATCTTTCGTGAACTATTTTTTAGTATCCTATAAATATAATTGTCACAAAAAATAAAAATTAAATATTTTGTCATTTCCAAATTTCAAATTACATTTATTCACACATGATTAAAATAATAATTTATAGAACAAATATATTTGGTGCTAGATCCATTCCAGATATGGTGGAGCCAAGTTTTGGATAAACTAGAAGGAATCATATATGCATAGCTGTCGTGGATTTGACACACACCTTTTTTCTTTCAACATCTTGAATTAACTCACAACTACATCGAAGAACACATGTGTGACACTTGTGCTCTTGTTACAAGAGATGAAGAACTTAAAAGTCAACATTTTTATAAGAAAGTCGTGTTTTTAAATATTGTTTTCATATTTTAATTTATAAAGAAGTCACACTAAGAAACAGTAGTATAATTACGATTTTTTTTTCGTAAAGTTTATTGCGTGTTGTAAAAAAACCCGTATATTTTTGGGTAAGATTTGAGGAGGTCGTGAATAAAACTTTTTTCTATTTTCGTACGAATGGTTTGTGTTGAAATGTGGGATTGGAATTCAACCTTTTTGATGAAGCCATGTAATGTGGGCATGTGTCCTTTCCTTCTGGAAAAAAAAGACTAACTCTCTTCGTTTTGGTTTTGATGTTGTGCTAGATATGCATGCATTCACCTCTTATTCATGTTCACTACTTACCCTTTTGAAAGTAACGCAATTGAACATATTTGTTTATGTGATATCAGTGACAATCACTAATTTGGTGCTGGGTAGTACGAAAATGATATTAGAAAGTTTTGGAAGAAAAAAGTCTACATTTTTTATATGAAAGTCTTGGAACAATTTATGCCACACTGGGATCCACATTCTAGTGCTCTTTCTTTCAACAATTATTTGTGTTCCATGTTGTTTAGGGCATATTTTCTCGCTAAAACACATTTTTTTGACTTTTTAGGTTAGAGAGTTGGTATATGCCTCTGTCCACTGTGTTGAATAATTAATCCATTTGTAATTGATTAATCCAACTATTTAAATCTATTTTAGTTTTTTATTCTTAATTTAATTCACATTAAAGAAATGTTGTTAATCAACCAAATGTATATATAGTTCTAAGTCTCATATATATATATATATATATATATATATATTTAATTGAGAATAAAAAAGTTAAATAATATATAAAAAATATAATTTATAATTTAATATTTTAAGATATTAGATTGAGAATAATATTAATTTTTTTATATAAATTTGATTCATGTCTCATTAATATGTTTTGAATCTCCTCAAAATATCTAATATTATATATTTAAAGAATTAATAGGTTTTCTGTCAAAATATCTAATATTATATATTTAAAGAAATAAAAGGTTGGGTTTAAATAGCTTATGACTGATTAAAAATCTTCTTACACGTGATTCATTATATATTTGCATGTAAAGTTTATACATAAGGATATTGAATAAACAAGGGTTATTACGTTGACTGAAACGTAGAACATTATAAGGAGTGAAGAATTGACACGAAAAGACATGTTTTTGAACAGAAGAAAACCGAAGATTGATTGTTGATTCGCAACGTAGGTCAAACTTTGAATGCATATCTGTTTGTAAAACGCCAAACACACCTCAAACTTCAAATGCTCAGAGGATAATTTAACACCCTACTTTTCCTTAATAACAATACAATTTTAATACCCTTATACAATGTTCAAATATACAATTAATCTTTCATCGTGTAAAATATGTTTATAACCACGTCGTTCAATCATAATTATTAAAAAAACTATCATTAAAAAAAAATCTAATAATAACTTTGTAGTTATGTTATTTTTTATGATGAATTATCACGAAAATGATAGATAATTTTAGAATAATTTTTGTATCTCGAGAATACATAATTTATTATTATTATTATTTTGTCACTTGTTGTTTCATTTTCCCTTTATATTATTTTTTTACATTATTATTACATCTATCGGATTAATATAAAAGTCATAATAAGCATTACTATAATTTTTTTATTTAATAATTTTTTTTAATTATTATTAAAAAAATTATTTTTAGTTACGGTTCTATCAACCATTCTTTAGTCATTGTTAAAAGAAAATATTAATATCATTAAAATCTCTTTTAAAATAATATCTTTTTATTATTATTATTATTATTATTATTATTATTATTATTATTATTATTATTATTATTATTTATACTTTCATTCTATCATATATTTTTAGTTTTCTATTTACTCCCATAATTGCATAAGGAATATAATAAACAATATTTACATTCTTTTTATTAGACTTTATACAGTTTGTCGTCACATCCCCTAATGCAACTGTCACAAAAGCCAAAACGATATTGCGCAGCATCAAATACAACATATCTATGACTCCACCACATCCACCAATAACTTATGCACATGAAATCTAAATAGGTTTTTCCATTTTCTTGAAGGAAAAATCTATTTGAGAACAATCTCTTATTCTTTGAAAACAGAATAAGGGGAAAATTTTGATTCATACAAAAAACTAAACTAATAATTCTAAACTTGTGAAAAAAAACTTTCTAAAGATGTCACAAGGCGTAGAAGAAGACAAACCGATAAAAAAGAAATTCTTTTTTTAAAACTTTAAAAAATCTTGTATGTTGATTAAAATTGTAACCATCATGCTAATTATTTATTATAACGGTTAAAAAAACCAATATAATAAATATTTATTACAATGGTTTGACTAATTTTATATAATAATAAATAATTTAATATGACGTTTAAAATTTAAATTAATATAATGAATACTTATTAGAATCATTTAAATTTTAACCACCATAAAAAATTCCACTTCTTTTAAAATTACCATGCATCTTTTATTATAACATGTTAATTATATTATTTAACGGATCAATATTTTCTTTCATATTACAATTCAATTTTGTTTTGTAGTAAGATAATAATGTTTTACGTGCACAAATTTTGCGACGTATTTTTTTTCTAAAAAATAAATGGTTTAAGTTGATTTAAGGTATTATTTATTAAAAATTATGGTTAAAATAAATGTTTTTTTTCTTCAAATATATCTCAACTCAAATGTCAAAAACTCATTATCATAATGGTAACCGGAGAAGTTGATACGACCAGTTTTAACCATATGATACCATTTGTGATTGTTATTAGAGAAAAAAAAAATCTCCCCCAATTAGAATAAAAATATTAGTCAATTTCATCTATTTTTAGGAATAGGAGTATTTAATCCGCCAAGTAAAACAAGGATTAAAATGAAATTCATTACGAGAAAGTAAAAAAATGAACTCATCTTTTATTACATAACTAAATAGAAAAATCTGACAACTATTTCCTTCTTAAGGAGTGAAAAATTAGAAAAAATAACAGTAAACCTAATAAAAAAATTGATGAAAATATGTTGAGATCTCTCTTAGTTAAATCTTTTGTTGTCTCAGTCAACAAACAAAGACAATAATGGTTTTTTTTATTATAAATAGGTCTCTTTCATCACTTTCTTTAGGTTAAAAAGTTGAAATGCATTTAAAAGCATTATTTGCACATAGAATAATAAGTTGCTTCCATGCAGTGGTTAGTGTGCCTCCTCAATTGTTAGTAGGCCTCCACGTTTTATTTGAATGATAATTGTGTTTGGGATATATTGTAATGGGCAATCCATCTTGTGGAAGGGCAAAAGGACCATACTGAATTCCATTTTTTGCATCTTTAATACACCAACTGCATAAAAATAATGACAAGTACCCTTAGAATCGTTCGAAACATTCTAATTTTGGAATATGTCTCTCATCACGATATATACTGAAAAAGGTTGAATGAGATTGTATTTGGTAATAACCCATGTTTGCCAACCTGTATTTTGTGGTCAGGTGATGTAGAAGCACCAAAATCTCTAACTTTGCTAATTCATTGCCAGGACATGCATGGGTCCCATTGCCAAATGGCATAAAAGTATCAGGCTTTGGAGTCACCTAGCAAAATCATTGAGCAGAATTTGTTAAAACTTTGACCTTAGAGTATATTAATAGCTAGGGAAAAAAAAAAGGGAAGATGAAGAATGCATAAGCTCTTCTGCATAATACTTACCTCAAATCTTGAAGGATCAAACTTCTCTGGCTCTTTGAAATTGTCAGGACTGTGGTGGATGTTTCTGAAAAGTGGTAGTACTTTCCACCCTTTTGGTATGAGATACCCTGATGAAATATATTATCCAACACAAAATCAAAAACAAGGAAAAGAGACCAATTATTTGATATATTAAAAAAAGAAAGAAAAAAGAGAGTATATAATCAGATTTGGTTATTGACCTTGAAATTCAACATCTTCTATCGCTTCTCTGAAAGTAAAAGACAAAATTGATGCTATTCTTAGAGTCTCCTGAATAACTCTTGATGTCACAGGCATATTTTTTGTGTCTGACCAATTCAGATCCATTTCTTCCCCATTTTCTTCCTTACCCCTTAAAATGGACCCCTGCTCCTCCTGCAAAAGTCACAACCAACAACTTTTTTAAGTCACCAAGCCAAGCCACAGTCCATATTATCCAACCTAGTTCCATTTATTTGCCATAAAAGATTTAAAGTAAACTCTAAAAATAATAGTAATCACAAAAATAAAGTTTTTTCTGTCATTAGTTGTCTGGTAAAAAAAATGTTAATCACGTCAACATATACTTATCTATGGAAATTATAACCTATCACTCATATCATAGTTTTAATTCATTATCAAATTTCCTCAATCCCTTTTGTCTTTTTTTCTCTCTCATTCCTCTATGCACCCCATCACTGTTCATTATTTATCATTCAAACTTTTTTTAAAAAGAAAATTATTTCATATTATTAACTCGATCCAACAAACGCTCAAGTCAAGAAAAACTTGATGATTATACAAGCAAAAAAGAAGAATGGAATATGCTTACTGTTACTGCTTCTAAGACACTCTGGTTTTCGCCGAGGTACTTAATAATCCATGTAAGTACTGTGGCAGTGGTGTCACGAGCAGCAAAAATGACACCAATGATGTTATCTGTTATCTGTTCATCAGTGAGTCCTGCTTTTTCACTCATGAACGAGCCCATCAAGTCATTGTGTTCTTGCTTCATCTTCCTCCTTGTTGAGATGATTTGGGCCAAGATCTGGGCAAGCTCTTTTCTTGCCTTCATGGCCTTGTGGAAAAGTGTTCCTGGAAGGTTTATAGGCATTGAGTTGTACCCTCTCTCGAGGGTGTAGTAGCATCGCTTCAGACCCTCTTCATTCAGATTTTCATCTTTTCCAAAAATTGAAAGCAGGGCCACATTGAAGGTATACTGTAAAACAATAAAAAATTAAAAACCCATAATTTTTGTGGTAATTAGACAACAGAAATAGACAAGAAAATGTAAAGGGTTTCTTTATTTTTAGTTCTTTTTTTAAATGAAGGGAGAAACAGAGGATGTTGCTCTGCTCTTTGCTCTGGTTTGAGGACTTACACTTTTCATTTCAAGAAAAGTTGTGATCAGCTTTCCTTCCCATGAGTTGAGGCAACTTAGGGCAATGGATTCAATGTCAGAGACTATATCTTTGATGGCCTCAGTCTTGAAGGTGCGAAGGACAAGCCTTCTGAGGTTAGCATGGTATGCTCCTTGGTGAAAGAAAATTCCTTGCTTCCCCAACATCCTCTCTTTGCTAGCAGGAAATGTTGGTTTGAAGAGTTGAGCTTTGTTCAGCACAAACTTTGCAGCTTCCGGGTTAGAGATCATCACACAAGGATAACCCAAAATGTGTGACTTAAACATAGAGCCATACCTATTGAAAAAAAAAAAAAAAAAAAAAAAAAGAAGAAGTAAAGAAACAATTAACCCCAAGTACCGAACAGTAGATGTACATATGCTAATGCAAGTGACCATTTTCTTGAACAAGATTGACAGGGTTGATGAGAGTGAGAAAGGAATTGTTTTGAACCTGTTGATTTTTGTGGCAAAGAAAACATTTGGGTCTTGAGAATACATTTGAAAAGTTTCTCCTATGTAAGGCCAACCCATGGTTCCTGGAGGAAGTGGCAATTGTCTGTTCCCTTTGGAAGGGAACGAGAAGAAGAATAATTTGACGAGTGATTTGAAGAGAAGAATGGATAGGAAAGCAGCAGACAAGCAGAAGGCAGTGCTGAGTTCCATGCCTAATGGTTTAGTGTGAGTAGTTGTTGTGGGTTGTGTAGTTGTAGGTGGGATAGTGAAAGAAGAAGATGAATAAGGTAGGATATGTTTGTGAGAGAGTAAAAGTAGAAGATTGGAGGTATTTATAGGGTGTAGAGAGTGAAATTATATGAAGGAAGAAGGAAGTAGGAAAGAGGGTGGTTTTAAGTTACAGCTAAATTTCCACACACGGAATCTCTCTCACTGATATATGTGTTTTTATTTATATGTTTTGAACTAATTGTATTGTATCCTTGGAGAGAGGGAAAGCATGAAAGGGAGCACGTGTCCCAAGAGTGTATCTATATAGGGACAGATACAACATTTAAAGAATTGAATTTGATCACTCGTACCATGGCATCTGACTGTGGGGAAGAAGAACAGCTCCACTGAACCGCTAGATATTAGTGCATATACAAGGTATTATGTTTAATCCATCACTAAACTTACGTCATGTATCAGATCAAAATACCCCACATCTTATATATCTATGCTCTAAATTATTATAATTCATTTTTAAATAAATTACTCCCACCCCTTACTATTAACTCATTTAATATCATCTATTTTTTATTTAATTACGTTATATTATATATATTTTTTAAATGTGTTTTCATGCAACAATAATAATAAATATGAGTACCAAATATCAACAACCAATCATCCTTAACTTGATGCTTGACTAGATCCAACCAAAGAATTTGTAATGTTTGCAAAAATGATTTATAGGAAAAAATTATATATAATCAACATAATGGGACCAAAGTTTCGGAGATATAAAAAATTGAAGTAAGTCAATTCAGTTTGTATGAAAAGCCGGTGTTCACGTATTTTTTGTCCGTGCAATTTGTATTTTGTTATTTGTATATGTATTTTTTCATTTTAATTTGCAGTTGATGTATTGGTTTTAGTTAATAGGTTTTGTTTTTAGTGTACACCTTAAATATTTGTAAATTAATGTTTTTTTTTCCAACATGTTACTTAGAAGAATTAGTATTTACTAACTGGGTCGCACTTAATTTTTTATTTTTTTTAACAAGTATGGGTTTTAGAATTTTCTTGAAAACGAGATGTGTGTGTGGTTTGAAAAATTCTGCAATGTACTGAGTAGGTCAAGCATTCACAAGTCACATTAATTAGGCTGCACTCACCCTTCATCATATTATTATTATTATTATTATTATTATTATTATTATTATTATAAATATCATTTTACTGTTAAGGCAAAATGAATATATATATATATATATATAAATATATATAAATGAAAAAACATATAAAAAAAATATTATTACAACTAAAAAGTTGTTGACTTGTATCTTGGTATAAGAAATTAATAAATTTTGCCATCTGTTTTGACATTCTATTCAAATCTTGTAAACTCAACAAATTTTACAAATCAAAACCTCTTAACATAAAAATTAAACTCAAAATTCTTCACTAAACCATTGAAGTAGGAGATAACACAAAACAAACTATAACCAAATTTAAATATGATATAAAAATTCACAGCTAAATTTTTGTTTTAATTTCTTATTCATATTTACATAAGAGTCTTACAACGATATTTTTTTTCTAAGCACCGGATCTTGGAGATATAGAATATAATCTATTGCTGAATTTTGACATACACTTTTAGGTTTGAAATAAACCATGTTAAAAATATTTAAATTGTTTGGATTCAAGATAACTATGATATTAATATTTTTCCGATAAACGAATAATATTTTTCATTATTTTTTTTGTTGAATATAATAATTTCTATAAAATCCTAAATTATTTACTTAGAAAAACCACAAGATGGTAGAAAATAGGTATAATACTAGAATTTACTTTGGGTCACCCAAGTTAAGTGAATGTAAAATGTTGATATACATAAAATTTTAATTGTGGATTTAGTTTTCCAATTTTCTAAAATTAGGTATTTTTTTTGTCCATAATTAATAAATTTTATTAAAATGTTAACGGAAAAGGTTAACATAGCCGTTGCAGTGATGTATATGTTATACCTAATTATCAAACCTATTATTAGGTATTTTACATAAATAAGTAATTGACTTTATTATTATTAATCACTTGTTACAGTTCTCGTAAACATTTAGATGATATATAAGTGGAATAAGGTTATTTAATTTTAAAAATTATACAACTACGTATACAATTAATTAAAATTGTACATTCGTGAGATGATAGAGTATGACTTATTTTTAAGATATGGCTTATTAATAGGATATAAATTTATTAAGGTATGATTTTTTTATATAAACTTGCGTAATAATACATGACCATGACAAAGTGCAGTGCAAGATTTATTGAAAAATAAAAAGAATTAAAAATGTTTGTAGATATAACACTAACAAATTTGAAGTAAAAGATGAAGAGTTATTATTGAATAATAAATATTTATTTTACTACGAAATATATGAGATTTTAACAATGAAAGCAGCACAATGTCTGAAAAGAATATTAATGAAAAATGGATATAGATTTGTTTGTGAATCCAATCTCCACGAGTTTGATATGATATGATATGGCCACGAGTAAAAGTTGATCTGTCTTTCCCATTTCCCCATAAACTCCACTTGTTCCGTGCAGCGCCCAATAAAATATATTTTACAATTATATTTTCATTTTATTCCTTTCTTTGCAATTTCAACATCATTCAATCTCACTTACAATTATATATTACGATTATAAAATACTTTTATGGAGACATCTAACAAACAAATATCTTATTTCTAACATGGTCAAATCTATTAAATATGTATGTAACATTTCAATTCTAGATACTCTCTATAAATAAATATATGGATAAGATTTCTCAATAAATCTTTAGTTGTGTTTTTCTTTTTTTCTTTTTTCACTTGTTAAAATACTTGTTGAAACTTATATTAGTATGGTTTGAATGTTACTTTCACCAGTTTGAAGAGTTTTTTGTACATTACTCCAAATAATATTTTTTTAAATGGCAGTTTTTATTATTTATTATCTTTCATTTTTATATTATTAAACTATTTATTACATAATATTATTTTCATACTTTTGTATGCAAAAAATATCTTATTACTTTTTTTCTTCCACTCATAAATAGGCTTTCTAATTAATTATTATTAACGTAAGATAATTTGTTTCTTATTTATACATAGTTTTGGATTACGGTAGATAATAAGTTATTAGTTTTAAAGATTTCTTATTACACTCTATTTTTACTCATTATACTATTTATATTATTTATTTAGTTTTTAATTTATACTTCGAAATATTGATACATAGAGACAATAGTTATTTTATTATATATCACTATGTTTTAATAGTTATGTTAACTAACATGAGGAAAATATGAATTTGTTTATGTTATTTTTTCTCTTTTTAAATTTCAATTATAAATAGTATAGGATATAATATAATATAAATAAAATAATACACTACATATAATTGAAAATGAAAGTTATCATTAAAATAATCAATTTATAAATAAATATTACAATAATTGGAAATTAATTAAAAACAAATTAGAAAGGTTCCAAAATATATTTTTATCTACAAAGTAAAATTTATATACAACACCATGTAACACGTTTAGTTTTATCCATGACATTTTACATTCACATTAATTTGGTGCAGTCATAGTCCTTTGTTATTAATTTTAAGAAAAATTATAATTGTATTTTATGAAAATGAAATATATTTATTCATTTATTTTAATGTTGAAATCGTGTTCCTTTAAAAAAGAAAAAACACACACTCAGAAGGCCTAGGTGGTATAGATGAGTTGACAGTGTTAAAAAGGTCATTCATTGCACTTGACTTGCTTTTGGTTGCGTGCATTAGTATTTGGTTTGTACACAACTCTTACGTTTAATTATATTAATTTCTGTATTATATCACCACCACCATGGCTAATTCATGTGTCAGAATGAATAAACAAAATTAGAAATGTTTATATATATTTTTTCAAATATATTAGAGATTTTATATTAATCAAAATACAATTGAATTATAATATAAAGTAAAATACTAAGATGCATGGGAGAGTGAGGAGGATATTTAGCCGCTATCTTTTTCTGTAGTCACCAAAACATTGCAAAAGTAATATTAATTAATGTCTTTCATTCCAATTACTGATGCAAGGAAGCAACATTACAGACACCTGTACGGACCACACTTGTATTGGCATTATTGCGTCATTGGTCATCACTATAAAATAATGGTGAAAAGCCATGCAAAAGAAAATGGTTGATAAGTGCATGAACACTTTTACTTCACGTTGCAATAACAGCTTCACAGACTAATGATATCATATACGTGTGGATGATTATACTTACTAAAAAATCAATTCAAAATTTACATACAACTTGGTTCGAAGAAAGTTTTGGATATTTTACGCGTCACGTCACGCACATTCCCAGATTTAGTTATTTTATTATTTTAAGAAGTAAAAGTAATGTGAAGAAGTTCAAATTGATAATTGTGTGTGTATGAATCTTGAATAGAGATACAAGTTCTGACCATTGGATACGGATCTTATCTGGTTCCATACTTTCAGTGTTGCCCAATATTTTCTTTTACAAGTGTTCGGTTCAGCGAGAGTTCTACAAATTTATTCATTCCGTGCATAATTTCACGCCGATTTCTAGCGTCAGCAACCGCATTTGGTGGTTCACGTGTGAACCACAAACCATTACCGTTAGATATATCATTAAATATTCAACGGTTCTGCTTCTTCACCGTGCTGAACCAGAAGTTGGAGCCGGTGTGAGATTGCTCGAACTCCCACTCCACTGGATCAAAATCCGCAGTCACGGACCGTGGAATGCATAAGAGATTACATAACTCGATGATGATGATGATGCATTAGACTTCCGGCGGGTCGACCGCATTGCGCGCTAAGAGTAAGATCGACGTTTGTGATGGTGGAAAGAGCATGAACAGTAAGATAAAGGGTTAAGAGAGAAAAGTGATTAACGAAATAATTATATTTAATTAAGAGTTAAATAAGTTTTTAAATGTCATTAAGAGTATCGAATTTTGATTTTTGAATATTAAAATGTTGTAAGAAATAAACTAAAAAAAAAAAATTCACTAATTTTATATGAATCTAAAACATTTATATCTCAAGTTATTTACCAAAACATATTATTGATTTGATTTGGATCCTTTGAATATGATTTCGAATGCGAGATTAATTTGTAGGTAAAAAAATGTTGTCAAATATTCTTTTGGTTGTAAATGAAATTGGTAGATATTTTATTTCAATAACATGAAATTTAGTTTTGTTATGTATAATTACATTATATATTTATACACAAATTGAAATAAAAAACTAATAAAGTAACAAAAAATAAAAGAGAGTAAAGTATACGCATGATATATTTGATTTAAGACTTGGATTAAGCTTTATTAACAGTAAGATTGAAGTTACAAACATTACATGTTGTATTCTGTGGTAATAAATTCCCTTTTATACCAACAATTGTTTCGTCTCACAAAAAACCGCAGCCTGGAACTTTAATTAATGATAAAATTAGTGGTGGGAAAATAAGAACCCGGCGTGGATGGTGAGGGCTAAACTAGGCTAGGCGCCGAAACATTAAGTCAAATTCATATTCATATTCTTCACTTTTTCTTTTTTCAGTGAAATCCAGCTATCATTTTGTTTCTTTCGTCTGCAAAGTGAAATAGAGGTTAAATGGATAGAGATTGAGGAAACAAACACTTTGCCACTAATGAAGTAGACATGCACTTAGACATGATGCTGATGATTGGGTTTCTGCTAATTATTTTATTTATAAACAAGATTAATTCATAGTGTCTATATTTTTCGGATTCTACTGTATTAACGTGAATGAAAGTAGTAAATTTTAGCAGTTTTGAGTGTGGAAGTAGAACCACCAAAATTGCAATTTGCTGTATCGAATATGTCGTTTTCCAAAAGCTGCTGCTGACACTGGATAAGGACTTAAACGTAATGGCTCCAAAGAATGCAGATGAGTTAAACCCACTTGCAAAGGACTATGTTAGAAATCATGCGTGTAACCTACGGAATATGATAAAAGGAGAATGTGTCAATTCATTTATCTGGTAGCAATAAAACAGTATGTGTATGTATTGGAGGTTAATAGGTATACTAGCCCAGATTGGAACAAGAATTGACCAGATGCAAAGCAAAATCAACCAAATTGGACTGGAATCTTTCTCCACCTTCACTCTATTTGTCCACTACATAGACACGATCAGATCTTATGTGGAGTTGTCGATGCTGTCAAGTGCCCCAAATTATTGAGCTGTAATCTGCACACCATAATAACCTATGGGCTTAAACAAAACCAGACCACGATAATGCATGATGATATTGTGGGAACCAAATGGACCAAAACCAGTGGCCAATCCCAGAATGTTGGTACTTGTTTTGCTGGAGTTCACTTGTTTTACTGTCAGAAAACCCTACTGTTTTTGTCTTCAATCATCATCTTTTATGATTGGGGAATCTTCAATCCTTGATTAATTCCTTGGCGTACTATAGAGGACACTATTATGGTATTTCTTCAAGTTGTTTTCTCCTAATTGCTTTCTACTAGTTCCGGAATCAGAATCACCATTGCCAAAGTTTTCCCATATTCTCCTTTAAATTGTTGTTTGTCAACCTCAATCACTTGACTAACTAAGGAACAAGCACCACTGGAATGGCAACCTGAAAATGTTGTCCAAAACAACATGCTTTCTTTCTTTGGACAATTGTGCGGTTTTTCTTCAACACTTGACCCATCAAAGAACAGGGAAAGTGGATAGATTTGAAATTTAGAAAACCCCGGATAAGAAACATATGTTGGTCTTTAACTGGTGAATGTCTTTAACTAGTTTCCCGCCAGCTAGATTTTTTTTTAATTGTAATTTAATAAATTATATAAACAATAAGTGTACATTTTTTTTATTAAACACTTAAATAACTACGGAAAGTACTCAAGATTATATATATTTTTTGCTAGAAGATAACTCTTAGTAATTTTTTCATGCAGGTCGAAGCAACTTGGTTGAGTTTGACCTACGAGCTACGCATAAACATTTAGTATAGACTACGTTGTGAGTACTAAACTTATATGCAAAGGACATGTGTCGACGTTGTTGAGGAGCAACAATTGATCCATGTTTTTCTATTTTATGTTCCTTCGTTTCAAAACAGCAACCATCTTGGTATTTCAGATTTGGAGGCTGACTCAATAAATTATACATAATATTAGTATTTTAGTGACAAGTGGTTGAATGTTTTTGCCTCTTTTGAATTGAAAAACTCCATGATTGGATCCCACGTGAGAAGGAAACTTTGAATTAAAACTCAGGCAAAAACATGGACTCAGTTCTTAAAGATTTTTTTATTTATTATTAGTCAATTGAGTAAGTCAAGATGGATACAATTTCCTACCCAGAAAATCATTAGTTGGACTTTCCAGAATACAGTGGAATATGATTTTCCATCTGAAAAATTGCTGGATTCACCTTTCTAAAATATAAGTTAATTTTTTAATACTTTGGAATCTTTTATCCGAAAAAATTTCGGATTTAGTGAACTGAAAAAATATCACCTATTCTAAATTTATTAATCCAAAACTTTTCTGAATTTATTTATCTGTCCAAAATACTTTTTTAGATTATAAATTTTATGAAGCACATGAAGGTAATTTTGTCTTTTACAATATATATATGGAAGGTAGAAAGAAACTATGCCAAGTGTAGGAAGAAAGACCCAAAAAAATAAGCTTTTTCACTATGATTATGGGCCTGTAGCCCAGTTTTTAGAGCCCAAAGCCTCAGCACTTGGCACACATATACATGTGTATATATATATATTATGAATCAAGAGAAAATTGGAAGATTTGTGTACCATGAAAGTGTTTTTTTGTTGATAACAAATATGAAAGTAAAGGTTTTTCTTTAACAAAAATATATGGAGCAAATAAAAGGAAAGCTCCAAAGAAAATGGAATGGTATAATCTATTGGCAATTAGATTTATAGGAGAGCTTGTTTATTGGGCCTTACCTTCGTACAAAGAGAAGCCCATTGAACCCACAAATGTTGAGCTTTTTGTTTCTTAAAAAAAAAGGCTCCTGCTACTTATAAACCCTTTTCTTACTAGTACACTTCCTTTTACTTGTTATTTGAAATGACATATTTACCCTTCTGTTTATCCCTCGCTTACATCCCTTCATTACACACGCCCCTTTTGCTACCGATTCACCATGTCCCATCAACAAGTTTAAGAAAATGATTGTTACGTTTCACAAAAAAATTCATTTTATTTTCATCAAAGGTATTTAATTCCTGTCCAAATAAAGAAATTAATGAAATGAGGACAGCATCATATTATAAAGCTGTGATGAAAAGGGGAAAATTAAAAAAAGGTCAACAGATCCAAAATCAAAATTCATGTAATTATTGAGTAATTAAAAAAGGTTGTTTTTTCGGTCACGTATAGACAATTACAAAATAACAAAGCAAAGGAAATGCTGTCATGTAGAATTGATGAGCAAGCATCATGAGTTGACCATTACACATTCACATAATTTGGAAGTGGCGTTCTGAACCAAACAAACCACTTTCTTTCTTTCCTCTCTCACAATCCCTTCGACAATCAAATCTTGGTTTTAATCCATCTCTATCTCACCAGAACCTTCTACTTCTAGTTCTGAAGCAGGGAAAGATGGCGATGTTTTGTCGGTGATTTGTGAAACATTGAATAGTAAAGATGGCATGGAGAAAAGGGTGTGAGGAAGTGGCTAATTCGAAGCCTCTGTTCCTCACGATCTACACTGTTGTCATCGTTGGCATCGTGGTTTCCTCCTTCTACGTCTTCTCTGCTATATACTCAAGCAACCCACCTGCCGCTCAATCTTCTGCATGGCTCTCTTCCCTTTCGAGTATGTTTTTTCCATAAAAATCTTGCCCTTTCTTGTTCCACTCTAGTTTTAGTTTCATTTCAAATACCCATTTCGACTATTATCGTTATTATTGCTTCGATGCTGGTATTTACTTTTTTTATGTTATAGAAGAGAAGGATGGTGGTGGGGATGTTAGAAGGTGTTTGGGTTTTGGAGCATCAGCTAAATCCTTAAGTGTTGTCTTGTTTTTCTGGTAGGACATAATTCATGTTAAGAATCGAAAGTTAAGGTATTTGTTTTCTTGTGTATGTGAGATGTGAATCCTATAGGCAGTTTAATGGTGGTGCCTGTGTAGGACAACTTTTATGCATATTAAGCCTTGGATTTCTTCCATTATGTGTGAGTTGGATTTTGAAACTAAGTTGAACACGGTTTTGTAGGTGAGGATACTCGTGCTTCGGATCAGACACTAAATGTTTCTCGGTCAGAAATGGTGCATACTGTGCCCACTCCTTCCTCAGGGCCACAAGATGAATGGCCAAGGTCTATATGGGATGTTCCACCAACCAACAAAAGGATGCCACCTTTGAAGGATTTCCGGCTGACGAAGGCGCTGATTCAGCAAAGGGTGAAGGATAATGTGGTAATAGTGACATTTGGTAACTACGCGTTCATGGATTTTATTCTGACGTGGGTTAAACAATTGAGAGATCTGGAAGTTTCTAATTTCCTTGTTGGTGAGCAGCTCTGCTCAAGTCTTGTTCTATCTGTTATGTAAATGCAGTGGTGATGTCTTGATACAAATGCATATCCACTATTTTGTACCATTTAGTGTTTGAATTTTGAAACCTGCTGTTTAGGTGCAATGGATACCAAATTGTTGGAGGCACTGTATTGGAAAGGGATACCGGTTTTTGACATGGGCAGCCATATGAGCACATTAGATGTTGGCTGGGGGTCTCCAACATTTCACAAAATGGGGAGAGAAAAAGTTATCCTGATAGACTCTATACTTCCTTTTGGTTTCGAGTTGTTGATGTGTGATACTGACATGGTTTGGTTGAAGGTGATTTTCATCTTTATATATATATGCATTCTTGACCCAATATGTTTTAATTATGACGATTGTCCATATACCTGCTTAGATTTTGATTAATGATCCAAAATAAGCAATAGAATTCTATTGGTTAGGACATTCTTGTCCAGCTTTATAGCATTGATATTCAATATTCCCCTTAGTATCATTTGTTTTTATCATTTACCTCTATTTTGCCATGTAATTATTATGATTTGTTATAATCTTATCTTTTATATTCATTTTGTACAATCATCTTTTACATATGTGTAATTGTTAAACAGAACCCACTTCCATACCTTGCTCGTTATCCAGAAGCAGACATTTTAACTTCAAGTGATCAAGTCATACCAACAGTTGTTGACGATAGTTTAGAAGTTTGGCAAGAAGGTGAATATTAATTTACGGTCATTTTTGTACTGTGGTTATGTTGGTTCTTTAGCATATTCTTTTTTTTTTTTTTTCAGCAGCGTAACTATGTTGAATGGTGTCATGTGATATGTGTAACGGAGCATTTGCCAGTCAAATGGCATCTATAGACATGCAAATTACTTCTTCTTTGAATGATAGTCATCTTTTAGAGTGCCCTGTTACCCGTTTGGCATGGCTTTAGATTTGAAGTTATCACATAGAATTTCACAAAACGATTGACAATAGTCACAACTCTGTTTTTTCTGTTCTTATTGTTATTATTGGTTTTCCCTGTGCATAAAAGTAAAATCAAGCTAATGTCATGTAACATGTTCTTCAGCATAACCAACTTATAAAATTAAATGGCATAGCATGAAGCAATTTTTTCTGTCCTTGGTTATATTGTTTTAGAATCAATGTAACCAATCCATTGCTCTTATTTATTGTTTCTCTTCATCTCTTATTTACTATACATGTTTCACTTGTTATTTTGAATAGTTAGTGGTGCCTACAACATTGGAATTTTCCATTGGAGACCTACAGAGTCTGCAAAAAAATTGGCAAAGCAATGGAAGGAAATGCTTGTAGCTGATGACAAGATATGGGATCAGAATGGGTTTAATGATATTCTTCACAAACAGTTAGGTCCATCTGTTGATGATGAAAGTGGGCTTGTTTTTGCTTTTGATGGAAAATTGAAGATGGGGATTTTGCCTGCAAGTATCTTCTGTAGTGGACATACATATTTTGTCCAGGTAGGATTTGTTCAACTAACAAATTTCAACTTTTCGAAATATTTACTTATAATTTTTTTTCCAGTGCTTTCTTTCTAACAATTAAATACCTTGCAGAATCTTGATAGCACTAAAGAAAAACTTGTATGCCTTTTTGATGTAATATTTTTCATATATTGTGGTTGCAGGCAATGTACCAGCAACTAAGGTTGGAGCCATATGCAGTGCACACAACATTTCAATATGGAGGCACAGAAGGAAAGCGCCATCGACTGCGAGAAGCCATGCACTTCCTTGACCCACCAGAATACTATGATCCTTCTGGTGATTAGTTGTTGTACATTCACTCAATAATATGTTTTTAATGCACTTTTGTAAAATATACTCATTTCACTATTTGTCTTTACTTGTCACTTAATTTTTGTGTTGAGCAGTTTCTACTCTATCTGCATTTAAGCCGGCATCATACTATGATGCTGATTTTAAAAGTTTTATTGTTTAGCATATGAAAGAATTGGCTGCAGTTTTCTGATTGTTTTGTCAACTCTGTTTCATGATATTACTGGAGCATAATTTTTAGATGAACTTTTGCAGGTGGGTTCTTGTCATTTAAGCCATATATTCCAAAAAGCTTGATGCTCAGTGGGGAGCATAATGTTGAATCACATTTTACTCTAGTTAATTACCAAGTATGTACGTATCGACCTGATCTTGTTGATGTCTACATTTTAAGGAAATTATGTTGCATGTTGTAATATGTGTTGCACACATTTTTTTTTTCCAGATTAAACAGATTAGGACAGCACTTGCAATTGCTTCCCTTTTGAACAGAACACTGGTAAGAACTAATTTTTGGTTCCTATATGCTTCTTTATGAATCCTATTTAGTGATAAACCACTAACATTTAGACGAAAGATGGACTACACTCATTTTTTGTCTCAGTACTTAAAATTGTAATAGAATCTTATTTATATTAGACTAAAGAACTAGACTGCTGAGTGCTTCTTCACTTAAGCATACCAAATCTAGTCTTCAACTTAGATTGTGATTGTATATTGTCATAATCATAAGCTAGGATTGAGTTGAAGTTTTTCGATTCTCATTTCCATCATTGGTAAAGCCGTGATAATAATTTATAACTATTATGACAGCATTTATTATCATATCTTCTCCATGTTTTGTTGGTGTTTTTCCTTCGCTTTGTTAATATTTTGGCTTTCCAGTTATTGAGGGAATGGAAAATAACTGCTACCATATTTCTGCTACTGGTTTATTCTCTCCCCCTTCTAATAATAAAATTCCTTGAAAAGATGCTATGCAAAATATACTAAAATACATTATTCTATGTGCTAAAATGTTGAAATGGTTTGTATGACTGGTTTTGCATTTCAGTTTTAGTTGAAAATGTTTTCTGATAAGACAGTTTTGAATGAATTATACACCTGGATAAGGTGATTTAGCTACCGTGGATGTGCTTGGTTTTTATAATTGATGGTTTCATTTTTTGTTGCTATTTTTACATGATAAATTCTTAAAGTAGATTCTTTGTGTGTTAGGTCATGCCTCCTCTATGGTGCCGGATTGATAGGCTATGGTATGGCCATCCTGGTATTTTGGAAGGGTCCATGACTAGACAACCGTTTCTCTGTCCTTTGGACCATGTATTTGAGGTATTTCCTATTTAAGTGATTCCTTACTATTTTTATTGTTCATTTGTCAATTGGACTTGGAACTGGAAGATGAAAATCATCCCAATAAATATGAGTACAAATTTTAATAATCTCATTTAAACTAAACTAGGAAGGTCTATGGCATAAGTAACTATACTTTCTTCACCTGTATATGTTGCACACAATAAGCAATATGTTTTTTCTTATTATTGAGGCCTAAAACCGTTTTGGAAATGGGGATAATCAGTACCAAAAGACTTTGTCAACACAAACAAAAATAAAAAAATAAAAAGTTTCATAGGGTTTATTGATTGTTCTGTTGTTCTGCTGGTCAATGCGAGATAATTGAAGGTTTTGTCCTAATTGCAGCAGTAGTAATAAAAAATATAAAAAACAAACACAGGTGGAAGTGAAAGTTAAAGATTGAAGTTAAAACTAGAATTTCGAAGGTGTTTCATTGAATATCTATGGAAAAGTTTTTTGTTATTTTCCATCTAGTAATATTCTGAAAGTAACCCTCAAAACGCACAAGTAAATTTTGAAAAGTAACTGTCTACTGTATAATATTGAATGAAAGTGAATAGCCTCTGATGGGAGTAGACTGTGACAAAAAATCTTTCGCTTTGTAGAGTTCATTTATTCACGTATAATTTCTAGAAGCACCAAAGAAAGTGACCTTGAATAGGTTCAAAGTGCAGGAATTTATCCGTATGAATTTTTGTTTGCACCATATATCCCATTTCATAATTTATGTGATTTCTTTTAATAAAATCAGATAAATAATTTCAGGTGTTTGTTCATGCTTAACTCTGTCCTACCTGGAGTGTACTTATATTTAAATAAGAAGATGCTTTGTTTTTATTTTTATCTGAATATGGTTTTTGTGTTTTCTCCAATTCTTGTTGTAATATTTAATATTTAATGTGTCCTTTTCCCCATCATTTCTTCCTTCCCACCTCTTGTTTACATAATTATAACATTTTATCAGTCACTTCCTCACGCTGCGTTGGAAATGCACACTGCTGTAGGTCAATGTCATGCTGAAAAAGCTCCCTGAAGAAGAGTTTGGTCCTCAAATAGATTTTAGAGAGTACTCAATACTTGATAACCCCTCTATGCCATCAGAGGTAATAAATATCAATTACATCCATTTTAAGTCATGATTCTTGTTTCTTGATTCATGTCACTTTGTTTAAACTTATTTACCTTGGTTCTGGAGTTCAGATTAAAAAGTCATGGCTTGATGTTCAGCTCTGTAAAGAAGGAACTCAAGATTGTGATGTGTCAAATGATACCACCACTGTAGGGGGAGCACTTAAGTTTCCAAAGCACAGCAATGAAGAAACGGTATTTGATTATATATAATGATGTCTATCCATTTAATATCCATTTCTGTTTAAAATTTTCTAAATCAACCCTATAAACTACATTGATATGATTATATAGAATGTCCAATCCTGTAATGATCATATATCATATCGATTATCATGTCTATCCATTTAACACGGTTGCTTCTACCTGTATTTGCAGTTTATGAAAGTATTCTCATCATTCAAGGATATAAAAGTGATCAAGTTCTCTTCAGTGCAAGATGCTTTCCAAGGTTTCACTGACAAGGCAAGGACATTTTGCATTTTCCGCATCAAGTTTTACTCTTTTGAGTTAGCGCCAAACTAACAAAGAAATGAATGTTAATAATGTGCTGATGCCATGCATTTATTTCCAGGAAAGGGAAGATAAATTCAGAAATCGTGTTAAGCGGTATGTGGGCATATGGTGCTGTGTGCCAGATCATAGTCCTGGCCACATATATTATGATATGTACTGGGATGAGAAACCAGGATGGAAAGCAATTCCTCCTCAAACTTCTGAGGATGATCATCCCCCTTGGTAAGATCAGCATATATTTGTGTTTACTATGCCACTGCAATGGATGGGAGAATAAGAGACATAAATCAAAAGGAGATTTAGTTTCCAACTAATTGTCAACACCAAAATTGTATACAAGTGAAGAATCTGTCTCCATATTGAGGATGTAAGATATTCATAGGAGATTGGACAATTGGTTCTTGTAACATTTAAGAATTTTTTGGTTTGTATCATGTTACTAATATTGAACCAAGAGAAATGGAGGACCTTGATTTCTTAGAGGCTTCACGTTTTGGTCTGTGATGCCTGGTTGTTATTGTATTGGCTGTAATTAAATTCAATTGTAACACTCTTCTTCCTTATTTTACTTTGAACAGAAATAAGTAACAGAAATAAGTAATGTTTGTTTTTTTGCTGTTGAATGATTTTGCTTTTGTTAATTTATCTGCTCCTGTCTTTGAACAGAACAAACTATGAACTAATTTGTCTATAATTTTTGCTTTAAGCATCAACTCTCTATCTGAACATATTATGATCCAGTAGCTTTTTCTTAGACCAAAAATTTCTATCTACTGGAGGTGTCAAGAAATGTATTGATGAATAAAATATAGATATCAGTTGTGAGAAGCTTACTTAACATGAACTTTATAAATACCAATGTTTATAATTGTTTCTTTATTATATATGAAGCTGATGATATATATTTTTAATTTTAATTTAAAAAAAATATATAATTAGTTTGTCTCCTATTTAACTATGTTTTCTATAATTTTTTTAAAATTAAAAATGACTGACATTTTAAAACATTTTATATCAAATTTTATAAATATATTATGTGAAATTGCTTCTCTAACAACAAATCTTGATTTCGTTCTTCTCTCTCACACTAGCTTATATAAAAAAAAAAACGAATTTTAATTCGTGAATGAATTTTTTAATACAAAAATAACGACTAAACGAATTTTAGAAAGTTTATTTTATTTTTATTAAAAATAGTAATTGAGAAGATTGGTTAAATATGCTATGACCGGTGAAAAGTAGATGTTATAACCTGTAGAGCAGTTGTAAGTACAAAGATTTTTTTCTGATAATTATATATATATATCAATTATACGACCGTAAATATGTTAACATGTTGAAAATACTTTTTAAAAAATACATAATTATATAAAATATCCCGTCTTTAAAAGAATTTTGAATTTCTAATCTTAATTAAAAACAATTATTGGTAAGTTAAATTCATGATATATAATGAGTTGAAAAATCATTATATGAAAGACTCGTATTTTTAGGAAAATTAAAAATATTCTAAATTGGTTTTGTCAAATCTCCTATTTATTAAGCTAAATACTTACAAATACATACAAGAGATAATTTTTTTAAAAAAATTGAATACTAAAATACGAAGATAAAGAATATACTTAATTTTCTTAACTAATTAGATGACCACCTTTAAGCTTGCAATTTCTAAAAGTAAGATAAATTATACTCCTTTTAAGAAAAATACATAAATCATAATGTTACACATTAATAATTTTAAAAGTAAGATAAATTAATTAATTTTATATAAATATGTTAATGTTTTTTTATAATTCAATCATTTGATTGGTTAGCCGAACAAAATATAGATTAAACAGATTATGAAACTTTTTTACTTGGGGAATCAAGTTACACGAACTACACCGCCTATTTTGTCACTCCAGATATTTCCCATCATTTATGGAACATTTTCATATAAAACTTCACATAATATAAAATGGAATTAACAGGAGACCATATGTAATTGGTTAAAAAGTTAGAAACATGGTTAAATGCCTATGGTCATTTGAAACTTTCTCTAGTGCAATTGTGTGTTTTGCTGTTCAATTTCTACAATCTAAGGAGAACCTTTAATCCTAACCAATGCCAAAAGTATTGCAATAGAGAAACACAAGAAACCAGGTAACATATATAGTCTCAAAGATCGATTGATCACATAATCCGAAGCATGGTTATTATAAAGGAAAAAGCTCTACACACAGAGAGCAGTATTTTAGATTCATGGTTTTGCATATACAATCTTCACTTCCACTTCTTGAACCCACCACCATGCTTGCCAAACTTTCCATGCTTGCCATGTTTTCCATGCTTGAACTTACCATGTTTTCCATGCTTGAATTTGCCGTGTCCATGCTGCTTGAATTTGCCATGGGGCATGTGAGCACCATGTGCATAGTGGCCATGGGAGCCATGAGAGAGATGGTGAGAACCATAAGCAGCAGCAGCCGCGACAGCACCACCAGCAAGCATTGCTCCACCGTGCCCATGGTGCCCATGGTGCCCTGGTGACATGCATAGAGAACTTAATTAACAACTTCCAAGGACAGCAAATTGTCATGGTTAGCACAGAACTTTTACAATTGAGAGAACTTCAACGAGCTTCAAATACAGTAATGAACGGCCAAACCAAACATTACATACAAAAGTTGTTCAAGTAGTGTTTAGAATTCAAACCAAGAAGAACTCGCAAATTAATTACACCATCAAAGTCAATCTTGCTCAACCCATGAATTTGCTTTTGTAGCCTGACAATCAGTAACTTTGTATGGATTTGTCTTCTTTGTTGGAGCGAATATATTAAAAGAAAAAAAATGTATCTACCCCTGATTTAAAGTAAGTCAAATTTAGGAGACACTTTGATTAAAAATCAAAGTAAGTATATCCTTACCTTTTCACTTTACACATGATATAACATTCATTTTTTATGGTGTAATATGTAATTCTAGAAGACAGTAAGTATATCCTTACTTTCTCATGTAACACATGATTCATATTTGATGGTGGAATATGTAATTCTAAAAGACGCTACTGTCTTCTAAGTAGGTAATATCACAAGTTTTTACAAATACATTGTAATAAATAATTAAATGAGTAACTTCAAGATGTAATAAAGAAAAAACAATTTAAAGAAAATGTACCTGGATCATGTGGAGCAGATGACCCAGGATAACCAGCTGGTGGGTAACCAGAAGGAGGGTAGCCTGCTGGAGGGTAGGCACCAGGAGGGTAACCTGCTGGAGGATAGCCTTGTTGTGGAGGGTACCCTTGATGTGGAGGGTATGCCCCAGGTGCAGGTGGGTAACCCCCAGGTGGGTACCCATGTCCACCAGCTACCCCATGAGCAAGGTGTGAAAAAATTCCTTTATCAGATTCATCATGCTTGTCCTTCCCACCTCCCATTTTTCAGAATCCAAGACCCTTATGATTAGGAATCATGCTAACACAGTCAGGTCAAACCAGAGAAACACAAAATACGGAATCACCAATCCAAACCATTCAGTACTAAAGTTTCAAAAACTTGATGAATGCCAATGATGAAATTCATGTTGTATGAAAAAGAAAATTAAAATCATTGGTCAACATCAGTGATTGAAGAGATCAAACATGAAACCACTGACAACAAGAGGACTATGTAACATAATTCAAGGATTTCATGATCAACCGTACATGTAAGAAATTAAGAAAGCTACACACTTGAACATCGATAATTATGAACAATGAGGGAACTCACCGCTTTGAATTTGCAGAACACGATGTAGTAATTGGGAAATTGCAATAGAAACGGAGGAAAATGTGAGAAATTGGGGATCTTGTATAAGTAGTGGCTTATCTATTGACAATTGAATGCTCAGAATGGTTGGATAAGGAAAAAACAAAAACCAAAAAAAGAAGAAAACGCGTAACGTTTCCTTACGCGTCATTGACGGGAAAGTGTCCTCTACCCATAATGCCACGTGGAATATCCTAATTTCTCGATGTATTGCACTAGTCAATTTCTTCCTACTTCACGAAGATATTTTTCTGAGGTTACCCACTTTAATTGTTTCTTTTCATATTTTTTTGGCTTGGAGGTTGTCTTAGATATGAAGAAAATAGCAATTAATTGCACTTCAAAAATTATATGGAAGATAAATGTTTAAAATTAAATATTTTTCTACCACCATGCAACTACTTTCATGAACCGTTTCCGATTAAGATAAAGATAAAATTATTTACAGTGAATGGCCAGAAAACTTCAATTGTTTAAATTTAATCAAATGTAACCCAAAGAGTCAGATTATATCAAGGTTTTGTAAATTGTGTTTTTTTTTTAATTTCACTATTAGGTTAAAAATATCTTTAAGACATATTCAAAATTTTATATCAATATATAAATTATTTCACAGTTAACATTTCACATCATTTTTATTGTTTCTTTGCTAGTTTTAGAAGCAACGACATTTTTAGACGAATTCATTGTTTAGTGGAACTAGTCAGAGTCCATTTTATTTTAAATAATACATTACATTAAGATTTTCTTATTATTCTTGTGTAGCAAAAGCCCAATTCAGTTTGGTGTCATCATTGAAACTTGTTGTTTTTTCTTTAGTCATCACGATAAAAAGGATTTGAGAAAAAACAAATTACATAACACGAACTATTAAGGTTCTATTTGTTTTAGCAGTTAAATAAAGTTTCAAGACAAAAACACATATTTCGTGTCGTAGAAAGAAAAGAAAAAAAAAAAACTTCGAAAGAAGTTTTGTGAAAGCATATTTATCCTCTGTGATTGGTATGAAATAATTGTTATTTTGGTCACTTAACTTTTAAATCATGTGATTGATATTCTCTTCAATCTAGTGAAAAAATTACGAATATTTCCACACTCTGATAATGTCATAATTGATTCATGTACATATAGTGTGATATCTGCACCACTGGTGTACGAGTTAAGAATTTAAACGTGTTAGAGTCATTATTTATTAAGCCAAATAATAAAGTGATTTGAATAAATTAAAGTTTTGGCTAAAGGCATATGTCATGAAAATAAGATTATGTAGATACCATAGAATAATTTCTAATTTGATGAGGGGCCAAATTGAAAAATACTAAAACTTAAGTAATTAACCTAATTTTAGTTATTTAAAGGGTCATGGTCCCCTTCTGAGAGCACACAGACAAAACGTAATTACAGTCCTAAGTCCCGTTCTTTTCTTTCTATCCCCATCAAGAAAGAAAACCAAGAAGGAAATACAGGTGCTCTTCAGGTAGAAGTCCTTAAGATCAAATCAAAAGTGCTCTACAAATAACATCATCATTATGATTAATTCAGGTACGCTTTCGCATTTAGTTTATAACATGTTTACAGTATGAGATTATTTTATATTTGATCGTTAGATTGAAGATCATATTTAATTATCAATTTAACTAACAATTGGTATCAGAGCAACTCATACTTGATTCATATTTGTCTTTGGAAATTACATTTATCAAAGATTCTATTCAATCAGAACCCTAAGTGGTGAACAATCTCCCATTTTTATAAACCCCTAAATTTAAATTAGAGAATAAATTCTCAAATTTTAAACCTAGTTTCGAAATTTGGGGTAAATTCCCAAATTCCCAACTTGAGAGAGATAAAGAATAATAAGCTGTGGACAAAGAAGACACCACGATTCGTGAAGCGCAACGCCACGGGTTGCTCGCCGCGTTGCTGAGTTCGCTCGCCGCAGGAGCCGCCATTGGCGCTCCCAGCGGCGGGGAGGTTCTCCGCCTCCTTGTTTTGGAGCGACATGTTGACCTACAACGCCATGTGGTACACCGCGGTTCCCACGGTGCACCAAATCTTGTTGGAACGCCACTTAAAAAAAAAAAAAAACCGGAACCGGTTTACCCGAAGCTCCGGTTTATTCGGAGCTGTAGTGCCTCGCTTGCACCGATCATAATGGAGCGGTTGGAGAGGCGTTTGGGGCACCGGTTTTGGAGGCCTATGCTATGATGGAAGCATCGCATTTGATGTCTACGAACCCATTACCCAAAGATGGGCCTCATCGAGCTGGGTCAGTTGGAAAGCTCGTGGGCCAGGAAATGGCGATTTTAGATGAGAAGGGTGAGATTCTAAAGAATGAAGTTAAAGGCGAGGTTTGTATTAGAGGACCCAACGTGACCAAAGGGTATAAAAATAACCCTGATGCAAATATTTCTGCGTTTCAATACGGGTGGTTCCACACCGGTGATATTAGTTTTTTTTTTTTTATTCGGATGGATATTTGCACCTCGTGGGTCACATCAAGGAGCTTATTAACTGTGGAGGTTTAGAAGGTTGTTGACAAATAACAATTATTATGTATGTATTGGAGTGGTGGTCTCCGTGGCATATAATTTTTTTTTCTTTTTTTTTATATATAAATAAATAATCAAATTTTGGTTTTGTTATATAATATTTAAATTTATGGTAGTTCAATAATTTTTTTTTGAGCAAATTGAGTCAAGAAGTTACCAAAGTAACCTCTCTTGAATTTGGTAGTTCATGAAAAATATTGAATGCTAGTGTTTGTGTATATTCATGCGAGTATTAGTCGACTTAAAGGAAGATTAATATTTGGCCGAATTGCATATACACTTGTAATGATAAACATGTGATAATTATAAAGATTTGCTTTGTCGATGATAAATCAATCTAAAGACTGGTTTGTTGTCGAACGTGCTTTATCATGTCAATGTTTGATTATTACAACAAGATACCTCTAGCGAGTTAATATTACTCGTCCAAAGACTTGATATTGATGGTGCATTGGGTGTCTTGAGATGGGTTAAACCATTATTTGAATATATATTTTATTTATAATTATTTATTTTTATAATGTGAGCATAATTAATTTATTTCTCTTGTTTTTAATTTAGCAACAATTGTTTCTATATCCGCCAATTTAAATTATGTTCCGATCCTCAAAAGTATGTTTCCTATTTTGGTCTGTTCTGAAGTCAATTTAGCGTCAATACCTAGTAACACTTGGTGGTTAGACTCAGGTGCAACTACTAACATCAGTGTTTCTATGAAGGGTTGCTTAAGCTACCGGAAGCCAATTGATTCTGAAAGATGGATATATATTGGAGATGGCAGATCGGTAGAGGTGGAAACTATAGGGCATTTTAAATTGTTATTGAGTACTGATTTTTATTTGGATTTGAAAGACACTTTTGTTGTGCCGTCATTTAGACGAAATTTGGTTTCAGTTTCTTATCTGGACAAATTAGGTTATTTGTGTTCATTTGGAAACAATAAGTTCAGTTTGTCTTTTAATTCGAGATATTATTGAACCTGGTTCACTTTTGCCTTATGATAATCTGTATTTACTTGATACTCGTGACCACCTATAATGAAACTCTTAATACGTAATCACGGGGTACTAAACGTAAAATTGATGATACTCACTCAGGAGCATTATGGCACAGGCACTTAGGTCACATCTCTAAAAATAGAGTTGAACGACTTGTGTTAAATGGAATCTTAGAGTCCATTGACTTCACAAACTTTAATGTTTGTGTTGAATGCATTAAGGGCAAACAGACCAAAGCGAAGAGATTAGGTGCATATAGAGCTACAGACGTCTTAGAGTTGATACATACGGACATTTGTGGGTCATTTCCTACACCTTCGTGGAATGGTCAACAATACTTTATATCATTCATAGACGATTACTCACGATATGCATACTTATTCCTTATACATGAAAAGTCACAATCTCTAGACGTGTTCAAAACATTTAAAGCTGAAGTTGAAAATCAACTCAATAAAAGAATTAAGTCTGTCAGATCTGATCGTGGTGGTGAGTACTATGGTAGATTTGATCGAGTCGGTGAACGGCGTCCAGGACCTTTTGCCAGGTACCTAGAGGAGTGTGGAATTGTCCCACGAGTATACCATGCCGGGATCACCTAGCATGAATGGTGTAGCTGAAAGACGAAACCGGACTCTTAAAGATATGGTCGGGAGTATGATTTGTCATTCCACTTTACCGGAGTCACTCTGGGAGAGGCACTAAAGACGGCAGCTTATATTCGAACGAGTACCAACTAAAGTAACGACCAAAACACCTTATGAGCTTTGGATCGGGCGACGACCTAGTTTGAAGCATTTCCATGTGTGGGGTTGTCCAGTTGAGGCAAGGCCTTATAAGCCAAATGAAAAGAAATTGGACTCCGAACAGTAAGTAGTTATTTTATTGGTTATCTCTGAAAGATCCAGGGGATATAAATTTTATGATCCCACATTAAAGACAATTTTTGAGACGGGAACTGCTACGTTCTTTGAGGATATTGAGTTTGGGGGGAAGAATAAAATCGGGAACTTTGTCTTTGAGGAAGAATCGGTAACAATTCCGGAACCGATTCAAACAGGTTACTTTTGATAAAGTAAGTTCGGAACCTCCACAAGGCATTGTTAATGAACCCCTTACTCAAGATGATTTGGTTGTTCATGAAGAACAAACTTAAGATCCTCAAGAACCTCGTGCATCATGAGCCAATAACTTTGCGGAGATCCACTAGAGAAAGAAGAAGTGCTATTTCGGATAATTACATGGTATTTCTTCAGGAACATGAGGAAAACAATGGTATGATGGAAGATGACCCAGTTAACTTCCGTCAAGCCATGCAAGGTTCTAACTCGAAAAGTGGATTGAAGCAATGAAGGAGGAGTATAAGTCCATGCAAGACAACAAGGTTTGGGAACTTGTCCCATTACCAGAAGGTATGAGACCCATTGGTTGCAAGTGGATATTTAAGACCAAACGAGATTCTAAAGGTAATGTGGAAAGGTATAAGGCTCGTCTGGTAGCTAAGGGCTATACCCAAAAGGAAGGGATTGACTTTAAAGAGACTTTCTCTCCAATTTCATCGAAAGACTCTTTTAGGACAATCATGGCTCTTGTAGCACATTATGATTTGGAGCTTCATCAAATGGATGTCAAGACGATGTTTCTTAATGACAACATTGATGAAACGATTTATATGGTGCAACCAGAAAATTTTGTGCAGGGAGATTCAAAGAGTATGGTTTGCAAACTGACAAAATTCATTTATGGACTAAAACAAGCATCTCGTCAATGGTACTATAAATTTCATCAAGTAATTATCTCATTTGGCTTCGAGATGAATATTGTTGATGATTATGTATATCACAAGTTTAAGGGGAGTAAGTATATTTTCCTGATCTTGTATGTTGATGACATTCTACTTGTCACTAATGATATATGCATATTGCACGAAACCAAGAAATTTTTATTAAAGAATTTCGAAATGAAAGATCTTGGTGATGCGTCTTTTGTATTAGGAATTCAGATACACCGAGATCGATGTCGGGGTATTTTAGGATTATCACAAAGGAACTATATCGAAAAAATTCTTAAAAGGTTTGGCATGCATGAATGTAAATCTGGGGATACTCCAGTTGCTAAGGGAGACAAGTTTAGTCTCAATCAGTGCCCAAAGGGAAATTTGGAAATTGAGGAAATGCAAAAGATTCCCTATGCATCAGCTGTAGGGAGTTTGATGTATGCCCAAGTATGTACGCGTCCAGACATAGCATACATAGTTGGGGTTCTAGGCAGATATTTAAGCAATCCAGGAATGGACCATTGGAAAACAGCAAAAAGGGTCATGAGATATTTAAAGAGAACAAAAGATTACATGCTCACATACAGGAGGTCAGACCAGTTGGAGATCGCTGGGTTTTCTGACTCGGACTTTGCAGGATGTCAAGATAGTTTGAAATCGACTTCAGGTTACATTTTCATGTTAGCAGGTGGTGCGGTTTCTTGGCGCAGTGTCAAGCAAACCCTTACAGCTTCATCCACTATGGCAGCAGAATTTGTAGCATGCTATGAGGCATCGAATCACGGAATATGGCTGAGAAATTTTGTCACAGGGCTGCAAATTGTGAGAGGCATTGAAAGACCACTTAAGTTATATTGTGACAAAAAATCAGCCGTATTGTATTCCAACAACAGAAGTTCGACTAAGTCAAAACACATCGACATTAAGTTCCTAGTTGTTAAGGAAAGAGTACGAGTGGATAGATTTCAGTAGAACATTTAGGGACAAACTCCATGATAGCAGATCCTCTAACTAAAGGACTTCCGCCCAAGGTCTTTCATGAGCATGTTGCTCACATGGGTGTTTTACGGTTTAAGGAATTTGTGGTTTAGTGGGAGTTAGTCATTTTCATATATTTTATGTTCTATGTTTAATTTAATATATGTATACATTATTTATGGACATATTTGGTTATCTATAGATATGCGGTTGTTTTGTTCATTCATTACACTTTGTACATTAAGGTTATTATATCGATCTCGATAAGTTAAAGTTTGGACCAGTTGAAAATAGACGTGTACAGATCACCTTCATGTAATTTTTCATGCTACACATTTCATGATGAATCCATGTCATTTGGTTATGTCAGGATGAGTAATCATTGTTGGTTTTAGTTGCGATGATGCAATGAAAAGCTGGTTTGGTTCTATATCCTGATATGATTAATGGACAGGACTTTTGGAATATGCTAAAGGAATATAATGACAATTTTGAGCTCATAAAGTCTAACACATTTGTAAGGTTGTAAAAACATATATATTTGTGACCAGTGGGAGATTGTTGGCAAATTTTGGGTCATGTATATATATGATACATAATTTAAATGTGTTAGGGTCATTATTTATTAAGCCAAATAATAAAGTGATCTGAATAAATTAAAGTTTTGGCTAAAGACATATGTTATGAAAATATGATTGTGTAGAGACCATAGAGTAATTTCTAATTTGATGAGGGGTCAAATTGAAAATACTAAAACTTAAGTAATTAACCTAATTTTGATTATTTAAAGGGTCATGGTCCCCTTCTGAGAGCACACAGACAAAACGTAATTACAGTCCCGTTCTTTTCTTTCTATCCCCATCAAGAAAGAAAACCAAGAGGGAAATACAGGTGCTCTTCAGGTGAAAGACCTTAAGATCAAATCAAAAGTGCTCTACAAAGAACATCATCATTATGGCTAATTCAGGTACGCTTTCGCATTTAATTTATAACATGTTTACAGTATGAGATTATTTTATATTTAATCGTTAGATTGAAGATCATATTTAATTATCAGTTTAACTAACAATATGCACCAAGAATTTGTGAAAAGAATATAATTTTTGTTTTGATAGCTATACTATATACACCCCCTTTCAGCAACTATGTGTCGATTATTTTTGGATCTTTGGTAGTTGCAGCCGACATGTGCATTTGTACGCACGCGTAACATCATTGACATT